GTCTCTCAAATAAAGAAAGACAATGCTGTTCCGAGGAAAATTTTGGTGGCCTTTGATGGCAGTTAAATCCTCAAACTCCTCGAGAAGTCAACTCTTAAGTGCAAGAAATCTACGATAACTAAGATTAATAAAATCTGATAACGAACTCTGGTCTACTATTTTAACTTTCTTTTTAGGTGGAGATTGATGCAACGATCGACTATAGGGAGTCCCATCACACTAGTCTAGATTTCCTTTTATACTTATCTTTTAAATACCTATAAGGATCCGTGGCTCGAGTCTGTTAGGAATCACGAATCTCCACAATGGTATTATATTATCCACTTTGAGCATAAGCTCTCGTGACTTTGCTTTGGACTTCTCCAAAAGGTCTCACACCAATGGAGATAGTATTCCTCACTTATAAACCCACGATCTTCCACTAAATTAACGGACTCACTCCCAATAATACTCAACAGAGTCTCTCAAAATATAGGTCGTTACAATAATCATACAAAACCCTATGCTACTGCAGTATACTATTTTCAAAATCTTATCGAATGCATCCAAATTGTCCACGACCGACCAGAAAATTATTGAAAATTGTTATACCTTTCAAAGAAAGAAACAAAATTTGGGTAGAAAATCATTACTCTTTCTTTATATTACTAACAAAGCCAAATTTACTCACCATATGAAACCAAAATTAAGAAGAAACTATGAGCCTTTGCACATAAGAGAGAGGAGAATTGAGAGCATTGCATGTAAGAGAGATGGCAAAATAAATAAAGTACAAAATATTTTAACCTATTTTTTCATCTTTAAATCAAAATTTATTAGCATTATAACTATTTTTTATTAAAAAAAACATGGGTGACAACAATTATTGTCGGCTCAAAACCTTAATTACAGAGTTATGTTAAGAATGAGAAATAGAATTGGGATTCGAGGTGTTTCATTAATGTTTACAACGATTTAAATAGGATACAAACTATCAACTAATATTTAAAAATAAATAAAAATATATAACTAACTTGTCTTATTTGCCTTGATATTTGACGTTGATAGCAAGTAAATGGTGTGTGGTACGCTTTTAATTCATCCCAAGATGCTTTGAGCTTGGTGAAATATGTTGACAGTGCGATGGTTCCTTATGACATTATTGCTATCGACTTTTGTATCTGAAAAACTGCTGGAGCATTCTTTTGTGAGAATTGATCGTGAAGATCAACTCACACTTGATGAGCAGCGTGAATAATGGTGATATCTGCTTCAACAGAATGAGTTAACCAAGATATTATAATACTGTTGCACTTATTCAAGAGTTCAAATTCAGTTGGATTTGCATCTTGAGACGTTCTTCAATTGTGCCATCAATGAATCCAATTTTCTTTTTGGCAATAAGAGCATGCATAACTGATTTACTCCAAGACCTAATTTGTCCCATTTAATTTTATTGGAATAAATGAATAGTCGGGGGGCGGATCACAGCTGTTATTGCATATTTAATGAAAGGTTATAAAAATAATAATCAATTTGTGCATAGCTCAACCAATTAAAATATATACTCTCAATTTATAAGTTAGAAGTTTAATTTCTCGATCCTACGTATGGTTGAAATATCGTAACTGTAACTAAAATAGATAAGGACTTAGGACGTTTTACCCGGATATAAATTAAATTAAATAAAAATTAAAAATTGAGAGACTAAAATAATATTTAAATAAAGAATAATTGAGAATAAATTTGAAATAGTTAAAATGATTTCGATTTAGTTTTATATTTTTAAATGTAATTTACATATTAGGAAATAGATCAGGAAGATCAAGACGAGTTTAATACCGACTTTCACTCATGAATCCTGCCAGTTTTTGGGGTCATCCAATCTCTATCAAAACTCCAATCAATAATCAAGGCAGCTCAAGAGGTGTCAGCACCGGCCGAAGTTTCTCATCACGATCCATCTCCTGAGGCACTTCTCAGAGAAATTCACATGTTAGCCACACAACAACTACATTCATCGGTTCATACTCTCTATCAGAATTGTGGAGAGTACTAAGTGATTTCATAACTTGAAAGAAAGACGGGATCAATCTCGTTCGTAGATGTAGTAGTCAATCAGCGGGAGTTTTAACACCAACTTTCGTTGATAAATAATACCCCACGACCCAAACAATTTGTTGGACTCTATTCAATGTGGTTACCACAAAATATACCGATCACGAAATTTAAACGGTAATTAAGTAATCATTTCTTTCATATATCGAGCTTTCAAAAAGTGGTTGTTCAAGCCAAACAAAGAAGGTGACATGTTTTTTTTTTCAGATAGAAAATTTAAATAAATAAATAAATAAATAAATATATATATATATATATATATATATATATGAAATAATTAATAGAAGGCTAATTACAAGATAAAGACAGGCAACTCAGTCGGTGCGGCGGAATAAACGGAGGAAACAGCACCGTTTACGTTTCCAGACACACTACCCACTGTTTCTGTGCGCAGTGAGATCACGTGGACTCTCTACTTAAGTCATACGAAATTTTAATAAAGTCAACGTTCTACACGTGGCGTGTGTTCAAAACTCTGACAGAAAAGTAACAGTGATCTTGATTGTAGTGGATAGTTTAGAGTTTAACGGTAATGAAACGACGCAAATTTCGGACGGTTTTGTGGCATGGTCACGTGCGAGGTACCGACCGTTAATGTTTTTTTTTTCTTTTTTATGATTTGAGTTTGGTTGAATTTTTTAAAAATAAAAAATTTTAATTTGATTTATTGGTTACATATTTACGGTCGAGTTGACCCGACCAACCGAAAAATAAGATCACAATGGCCTGATCCAACTATACCCTTTTTTTTATTTATAAAAGATTAAGAATTTTAATGTTTGTAATTAATGTTAGTGATGTATAATAACTTATAAATATTTGATATTTGAACTTTACGAGATTTTAGCTATTAATCCGATGTATTGTGATAAATATGATTTTTTAAATAATTAAAAAAGTAACCCAACAAACCAACCCGATCCAATTCAAATAGAGGGTTGGGTTGGATTGTGAACTCTATTCGTGTTGTTTAAATCACCAATTCAGCCAACCCGAAATTTCAATCAGTTTCTCATCAATTTATGTGTACTTACAAATTTTAAAGGTCACCGTGGAGTTAACGACACATGTTACATGATGGACTACTGAGTAGGATTAAGAATTGACAGGTCAATATTTGCGAACGAGAGATTTAACCTAGCAGTACCGAAAAGTAATCCAACACATTGATCTCACAAGACTAACGTGATCCAAAAGGTTGACTTTAAAGCACGGGTCGAGTATCTAAGTAAATGAACCTATATTTTTAGGGTCATACAACACAATCCTATGTTTAGGCTCTTTTACTTCTATTAATTTCATGAGATTTTGATTTTACTTAAACTTTTCAATATTGAATTCGGTCTAGTTTAGACATATATTAAACTTTAAAGTCAATGAGGTCAAACTACATTCGAGAACCGGATAAACATGCAAAATAATGTATTGACTAAGTTCGATTCGTCTCTCTAGATCATCCGAAACTCAAAATAAAACTTAACTCACAAAATAGTATTTTATTCAAATCAAAATCATTATTACGAAGTAACAAAAGAAACAACAAAACAAGTACGAGAGTATAACCCCAGTTATGATATCAAAAGAAAAAGAAATTTAAAAAACGCCTCTCGATCTAACTCAACAGTGGGTCGTTGGAATAAAGTTTGGACTAATGGTACTGAGTTTTCGTTTTCGAATCAATTTTAGGGTTTCTTTTTCTTTCTCTAAAGTTTACGATCTAGCTCTGAAAGCAAAGTAAAATTTTAGGACTAGCTTTGTTTTCTTTGGGTCTCCTCTCAAACAATGGGAACGATTTTCTTTTTCTTTTAATTAATTAATGAATTGATTTTGCTTTATTTTATTATTTTATTATTATCATTTCAATAATATCCTTAAATTTTCAAAATAATTTAATACTGTTCAACTTTTTACTATTTTTTTTCTTTTTTAAAAAAATACACTTACCATCGGTATTATATTAAAAAAATACCCATGAAATTTTAAAAGTAGCAATAACACATTTTACTCTATAAAAAAATTTAAAAAATTCATGGCTGAAGCGGTCGAAGTGACTCAGGAACTGATCCAGCCTCAATACGACGTGAAGCTTTTCAATCGCTGGACCTTTGATGATGTCCAGGTTAATGACATGTCTCTCGGGGATTACATTGGAGTTGCAAGCAAGCGACCTATGGTTCACACACTGCAGGTCAATATTCCATGAAGCGTTTCAGGAAAGCTCAATGCCCAATTGTGGAGAGTTGTGTTCGTCTAACATGGTATCAGAGTCATGCCCTAAACCTAATCGTGCTAATAGATTGGTAACTTCTCAAATATCGAACAAAGGACTCCAAAAGAAAATGAGTCAAGCCTCCTCGAAGGCAGTAAAAAATGACTAAGACACCAAAGGAGTCGAGCCTCGATTAAGGGAAGGCGCACTTTGTTCGAGGGGAGGTGTTGGATGATGAAAGTCCCACATCGACTAATTTAGGGAATGATCATGGATTTTATAAACAAAAAATACTCTCTCCATTGGAATGAGGCCTTTTGGGAAGCCCAAAGCAAAGTCATGAGAGCTTGTGCTCAAAGTGGACAATATCATATCGCCGGACCAAAATTGTCTATTAACACCTCATAAATTATATCCAATTTTTTAAAAAAAAAAAATAGTTTAAAAATATTATTAAAAATTATGGAGAAAATAGAATTTAACGCTATATTAATTTGAAATTTATTTGGTAATGTATTTAATTTGACAGAGTGGTAGGGAGAAACGCGTGAGAAGGCTGATTACGCGGAAAGATGTTAGAAAAAAATGGTGCATTGGAGTTTGTGGATTCAATTCCTTTTTTATTTCCACATTAAATTATGAACCATTTTTATGTCTAAAACTCTGCACATTATAAATACATATTACGGACACTCCAAACCAGACCATCTTTCAATTCCCAAACTTCATTTTCTTTATCTTTTTCGAGAATGGGAAGTTTGCCTCATTTGCTTCTAATTCTCCCTTTGCTTTTCTCTCTCTTTGCTCTCTCTGTTTCTTCCGCTCCTCCTCGCCACCGCCTCCTCGATGGTAAGCCAAATTTCTTCTCGGGTCCGTAAATTTTTCTATCAAGTTTTGTGAACTTTATTCGAGTGTGGATGTGTTTTTTCTTGTTTTGCTTTTGATTTCGTTGTTGATTATATGTACTCTTCTAAGCTCAAAACGAGCCAAAATCTGAGTCCTAAGTTTGAATCTTCATCTTGAATGATACTTCAAACGTAATATTCTAAAAGATATTATGACTCATTCAATCTCTAATAAGAAAAATAGAACTTGGTTATATTTCATCACTTCAACAAGTTTAGTGGTGAATATAACGACTCTAGTGTTTCGATGGAGAGTGTTAAATGAACACAACTCTCCACAATGGTATGATATTGTCCACTTTGAACATAACCTCTCATAGCTTTGCTTTGGGCTTTCCAAGAGGTCTCATCACAATGGAGAAAGTATTCTTTGATTATAAACCCACGAACATTCCCTAAATTACTCGATGTGAGATTTTCATCCAACCGAGAGAAGAACTTATGATTTGTATTTCAGGAAATTTTCAAACGAACAATATATTTATTTAGTCTACAAAAAAAAGGTTATCACAGAGTTTCCGTAACAGCTACTCTAGGAGGATTGGTGGGCTAATAATTTAATAACTATTTTTGTAGCTCATAGATTTTAAGTTTTATATTTATTTAGTCCAAAAATCTTTAAAAAAATATTTAATAAATTTTTAAAATTTTAAATATGATTTTTAAACTTGTTTGGTACATTTTGGGGCAGGTCTTCTCCCTAATGGCGACTTTGAAACTCCGCCAAGCAAATCAAACCTAAACAAAACAGTGATCATAGGCAAAAACTCCCTCCCAAAATGGGAAATCAATGGCCTCGTTGAATACGTGGCAGGTGGGCCCCAGCCAGGTGGATTCTACCTACCCATTCCTCGTGGGGCCCACGCGGTGAGGTTAGGGAACGAAGCCTCAATCTCACAGAAGGTGAGGTTAAGATGGCGTTCCGTCTATACGCTGACGTTTGGGGCCACAAGGACTTGTGCACAAGATGAAATGCTAAGAATTGAAGTTGGGAGTCAGTCAGCTAACCTTTCCATTCAGACTCTGTATAGCAATGGAGGTGATACCTATGCCTTCACTTTTAGGGCAAATAGGAATGTTGTGAACGTCACGTTCCATAACCCGGGCATTCAAGAGGACCCCACTTGTGGACCGCTATTGGATATGATCTTCATCAAGGAGATGCCACCTGTACGTCCCATTCCAGGTAACATATCTTGAACTACACACCATTAAGTAGAATTGGGTTTAATCAGTTAAAAACAAAAATCCACCTGTATGTCACGTTCTATGTAAGATATCTTGAACTACACACTATTAAGTAGAATCGGGTTGAATCAGTTAAAAACAAAAATCCACCTGTACGTCGAAGTTCGAGGTAAGATATCTTGAACTACACACCATTAAGTAGAATCAGGATGAATTTAGTTAAAAACAAAAATCTACCTGTACATCACATTCTAGGTAAGATATCTTGGTTAAAAACAGAAATCGTTAGCAAACCGTACCTAAATCTAAATCTAATTGGTTAAGAAGAGGTAAATGTTATGTATGTGTCCAACTTACCTAATCAGGGATGGTGGTATTTGCTTGCAGGTAACCTTTTGTTGAATGGAAACTTTGAAGTTGGTCCTCATGTGATAAAGAGTTTCAACAATGGGATCCTCCTTCCTCCAATGCAAGTTGATCACATTTCTCCACTACCAGGCTGGATAATTGAGTCTCTCAAGCCTGTAAAATACATTGACAGAGGCCATTTCTTTGTCCCTTCAGGGAATGCAGCCATTGAATTGGTTGCAGGAAGAGAAAGTGCCATAGCCCAAATAATCCAAACAGTTCCCACAAAGTATTATAATCTCACCTTCACCGTTGGAGATGCCAGAAATGGCTGCCATGGCTCCATGGATGTCCAAGCTTTTGCTGCCCGACAAACCATCAAAGTTCCTTTCATTTCTAGAGGGCTTGGAAGGTCCAAAACTGCAAGTTTGAAATTCCAAGCAGTTTCTGTTAGCACAAGAATCACATTTTACAGTGCTTATTACCACACCAAGCTTCATGACTACGGCCATTTGTGTGGCCCTGTGTTGGACAATGTTATAGTCGTTCCAGCTTAGATCTTAGGCTGCCAAATAATAGTCATATCAAAGTGTTACTTTGGAAGTTGGTTTCTTCAAAAAAAAAAAAAAAAAGTGTTTTCTATTGTTCAGATCCAATATTAGTGAAAAGCGTGTAATGGGTCGACTTGTTTCAATACAGAACTGAAAATTTGTTCTTCTTTGACAAAACTATATGGTGTAGATTCCTATTAAATTATAAACATGCTTAAGAACATAATGTAAAATCTTAAAATCGATCTATAAGAAAGTGGCATATTCCAATGCTTATCATACAAGATTATAGCTATGTCACAGAACTGAATTCACTCCCCCTAAAAGGCATTATTCTGGGGAGATTCAAAAATGGAGAAGCTAAGATGTATACTTCAAAGCTCTATGTTCCGTATGAAGCTCTAATCAATTCTAGTATATCCTGTACTACCCTACCATATTTAATTTGCTTACAAAGCAGGCCTAATCAAAACTTCCCAATCAATTGGGATTGTCCCGAGACTCTCTACGGCTGAGTTTGGACCAGGCTATAAATGAACGGATCATCTACTCAGAGTTTGTCAAGCAATCTGCAAAAGGGAAATGGAAAGCAAAGAAACATGTTCAATTTTCCCGGAAAATTTGGCAAGGATATCTGTGTAAACTAAAGGGTTTTATTGGATTTGATTGCTTTGAAGCCATCAAATAGATAGGAAACTGGGAGTTGAGTGTGTCTTGTACCGTGTAAATATAGGGATCTTGGCGTCCACCTGTTCCTGATCTTTTGATCTCTTCCAGTTTCAGCAGCCTGTCAAAGAAGGCGAAACAGAAACCAAATCAATTTTGATCCTAATCAATCTGTAAGCTTGAAAATATAGATCTCCATATTGGCTATCTTTGAATCTTTCGCCTAATGAATGGTGTTCCGATGGTGACTATATAAATTATCATCAGAGGTGAGAGTATTCCGAGGGCATAGATGATCCTACCGTGTACAGTAAATGTGTGAATTGGAAGCACTGGATAAAAGCACGACTTTAGAGCCAACGTGGTGAGGAGGTGGGAGAGAGAAGAATGAATTACATTCTGAGAGCCTTGCTTGTGTCAGGGCTGTCACCAAGCACTTGGCGTATCTTCACCTCAGAGGAACAGCCACCAGAGAGGTAACTCAGAATGGCTTCGGCACGCCGGCGCATATGAGCGGATGCGACGTGCTTTTTCCTCCACGCGTGACGAATCATTTCCAACTTCTTCTCTGCTCTGGTAACCAGGCGACGGATTGGCGCGCTTGTGTCCACACTTGAGCTGCTTGACAAACAATAAGTCGTCTCCGAGGACGCGGAGCCTGAAGACAGGGTCACGTCGTCTGTAGGAGTGAGATTCCGGTTCCCGGATATCCGTACTGGCCTCGAACGACTCTTTCTCACGACCTGTGTGGAATTCGTTAGACTTGAAGGAGTGATAAACTCAAAATCAACGAAGTATTTACTAATTGGCAACTAAACGCTTATCGATCGAAGTATTGAGATATTGAAATTCAATGACTGATAGGTAAGTAATCAGGTGGAGGAAGTAGAATTTCTAAAATTCTGATCAGATTTAAGTTCATACCGAAGAAGAAACAACAAGAAGGATCCGATAGTTCCAGTTTCAGTGACAGAATCCGATTAAAATAAACTTATCCAGAAACTAATTCAAGTTACAAAAGCAGAAACGACGACCAAAATCAATAGCTCTTTTACTCAAACCAAGGCACGGGATTCACACACAGCAGAAACTGCGCAAACAAAAACAGAGCCAAAAATACCACATCGAACAAAACAACATACAAGAAGAACGAAATTATGCAAAACAGGTTAGACTGAGAACCATTACATTAAGCTTTAGCTCGTCGCGATAAGCTGAAGTAGAGAACAGCAACAGCTCCTGCGCTCGAGTCTCGGACGATTCATCTGATCTAGTGAGTACTGAAGAGCAAGACTTCGAATCATCACAAAATGGCGACATCTCACTCGAGCATTTTCCACCGAGAATTTTCTCCTCAAACAACCATTCGTCTTGAGAAATCGGTCTACAGAGCAACCAAACACAGAAACAGAGATTTAAAGCAAGAAGAAAAAAAAGGACGATCAGATACAATCATTCAACAGAACAGAGCAAATGACAGAGAAAACAGGAAATGGAATACTATCCAATATCTTACATAGATGGCGACGGCTGAGGAGATGGCGGAGGAGGCGGTGAAGTGGAGAGAAGGAGCAGAGCAGAAGCGACGGTGCGTTCTAGAGCGCAAGGGAACTCTGCCATTGATTCTCAATAACGAATTTCTGGCGGGTGCTTTCCAAATATTTGAATTTTGTTCTCTCTCCTCTCTCTCTCTATCTCTCATTTGTATGGCTCATTATATATACTCTCTCAGTTTACAGTCCAATCTGACCTAATATATATTATATTAATAATTAAAATATCAAATATTTACAACTCATGACACAATACTAACCGTGGCTATAAATGTTAAAGTAAGATTGGGTTGAGTTGACCTAACTAAAAAAAGGTCAACAGGTAAACCGAACAAAATTTTTATTTTAAAAAAATTCAACCTAACCTAATAGGGTAGTCCGCATTATGCAATCACTTCGATTAGAGCATGGCTCAAATTGGATGGGAAAACGATGCAAAGTTGGTTGAGATTACTTTCCCTAATCGAGTATAGTTCAATTTCTTATAATGGGTTCATTCCGAGAGATGTCTATTTAATCAGCAGAATCGAAATCCCGCATGGACTTGCCTTAGACGAGAAATTGAGAAAAAGTTGAGAGAGATTTCTATCTGTTAGCTAACAGGGTCGGTGACGGAGATTATATTCCCTGTCTCTACCCCTCTCTTGCACAAATTCCGATCACGCCCCATATATATATATATATATATATATATATATATATATATATATATTTGTGCGCGTGCGTGCGTGCTAATTATTGAATTTATTAAGATGTTTAAAGTCTCTCCGATAGTACGCTGAGGTTAGAGTAAATTACGATGTGTCCCTCGAGGTCTCTCGAACCCGATGTTGTACCAATGTCTATATTTCGTTCTAGGAATAAGGTTATGAATGATCTTCCGGTATGTAGTTTCGTTTCGTTTGGGTCATTTAACGGAAATAGAAGACTTTTCCCCTATTATCAAAGGACCTATGAAGTTAAAGAAAGTGTGTCAATCAATTCAATGAATATATCTCGAGTCAATAATACGACAGACAACGCTACCTACACGTGGATAGAGAGGATAGAAAAGAGAGAGCCTTAGCCCTGAGAATCGAATTCTAAACCGGCGTGGCACTGCTAGATGCTTCTCATCAATAGAACGGGAAGAGGAGTCGGCCAAAAAAAAGACCACCAAAAATCACGACCACCAAAATTCGCATGTGATTTGATCGAGGCCTACACCCCATAGAAACTGTCTACCTGAAACTATCCCTTGGCCCGTAGGTTCTGACACAAAGTTAGAATTCTAGCTCTTCCAGAGTGGTATCTCACTGATGGCTCGAGCCCTCCCAAAAGGTGGCCTTCTTCGCCCTCCACCTACGCTGCGCAGGAAAGGCCCAAAGCCAATCCCGGGGAACAGTGAAGCTTCCTACGGTCTTTCTGTTCACGTGCAAGTAGTCCACATCTTCACAGACATGTCTATTTCACCGAACCTCTCTCCGAAACAGTGCCCAAATCATTACGCCTTACGAGAAATTTCCACCCCGATCATTACAAAAATAAATGAAAAATTTCGCTCGATTGGGCAAACACAAATCACTTTATTCAAATACATCAAAAACGGATTTGCAAAGAGTACAAAGAGTCTCAAATAATTTCACATTACAAAAGTACATTCCATTCATCCTTGAAAGGGAAGATGGTTGAATAAGTGAGAGCCAAAGTAATTTACATTCTTCTTTTGATTTTACAATGTTTACCTGTTCATAATCAATATACTTCATCGATCGACCCCCTCGATCTTGTCTTCGACCTCGGAGTATAACTGTCGCAGTTTCTCGATATTTTCCTCCGAAGTTTCCCAATATCCACGCCCGTTCGCCTCCAAGAACGTTTGCACCAACTTCCTAAACGAGTTTGGATTCGTTTTCATCAGCCTGTTCAACATCTCCTCGTCTTGAATGAACGTCGTGTTAGCTTCTTCGTAAACCCAGTTGTCGACTTGGCCCGACGTTGCACTCCATCCAACTGTGTTGGTTAGCCTCTTCTCGATTTCTCGAACGCCCTCATAGCCACTCGACATCATTCCCTCGTACCACTTGGGGTTCAACAGCTTGGTTCTTGCATCAAGTCGAACCGTCTCGGCGAGCGATCGGACCTGTATGACGCAAAGATTCGTGTTAAGTATGCTTATAGGTGTGAGCTTATGATAACATTGTTGATGATGTCTCACCTGAGCATTGGCTGTAGTGGTATCAGCAATGTAGGCATTAGGCTTCTTCCCATCCTTTCTCAGGCCTTGAACTAAATTAGTCGGATCGGAATCGAAGTAATGGCTCACGTCGGTTAGCGAGATCTCGGACGAGTCGAGGTTTTGGAACGTGGCATCAGCCGTGCTTAGAGCCATCTCGAAAACTTTTCTCTTCTCCATCATGCCAGCTCCAGGAGCATCACAATCAAAAGCAAAGGATTTCCTACTCAAATACATGTCTTGGAGTTGCTTCTCATCGTTCCACGACGAATTCTCGACAGCAAGATTAATGTTAGATGAGTATGATCCAGACGCGTTCGAGAAGACTCGAGTTGCAGCTTCTCGAACCTCGATACCAAGGGCTTGAGCTTGTTCCGTTGCGTGCTTCCTAACAAAGTTCAGCTCCTCCGGCTCATCTAATTCTGCAACCATCTTCACCGCTCGATCCAAGAGGTTCATCTGCAAAACAAATCGTAAGTTCGTGTCGAAAACAAGAAACTAGAAATCTTCTGAGAAATGTAGGATCATCTACCTGATTGATGAACAAATCTCTAAACACGCCCGAACAGTTGACAACAACATCAATCCTAGGCCTTCCGAGCTCTTCGAGGCTCACAGGTTCAACCCGGTTGACACGACCGAACGTATCAGCTACCGGCATTACGCCGATCATCCAAAGAACCTGAGCCAGGGATTCACCATAGGTCTTAATGTTATCAGTACCCCACAAA